GAAATATTTTTAAAAAATTGCACTGCTTATACCTTTTCAAATCTCCTAATACAGATAAAGTTTTTCTTTTTACTTTTTTGTAATAATTTATTAATAAGAAATATCGTAAAAGTTGTCAGATGTCTACCAATTTCATTTTCATTAATTTTCGAATTATAAAGATTGTTAAAAAATAACTAATGTGTTATTAATACCAATATTTCATAAATCTCAAATAAACTAGTATTTCGATATTTATAATCTTGTAAAAAATTAGCGCTTTTACCTATTAATGTAAAAAAGTACAATAAAACTTTTTAAATCCTTAATTTCTCTTCTGCTTAAATTCTCACTATTTTTCTTTGTTTATTTACATATCGTTCAAAAATTGACCCGCAGTAATGCGCTAAATTACCCCGGGTTGACACTTGCCCTCCTTAAAGCTCCGAGATCTCCAGACTTCCCATAATAATAATAATAAAAAAAATTGTACTCTCATTATAAATCTGCCCACAGTAAAGAATAAAGAGAAAAACAATAAAAAAATAAATATAGACAAAAGATGGAATATTCTCGAGCGAGCACTACAGTCGTGATAGTGTGGAGCTACTTCTATTTTTTTACTTCTCAACTCTTTATCTTTTAAGTATCGAAGACAAAAGTATAATTATTGTTAATTAACGTGACTTACTCTTTTCCCGGCCCTTTCTTATGGCTTTCATCCTAATTATGGCTTCCCAATTAACAACTTTATTATCAATCAATAACTATTTCGTTCTTGAATTATTTATTTAACAATTGATTAGCAACACTGAAAAGAACAATCCATTAATATAAATAACAACAATGATAATAATAGAAACTGTAAAGTAATCGCTTGGAAATTACATATGTTTCTTTGACTCGTAATTTGTTTTTATTTATGCTTGAAATAAGTGATCTCGTCGGTGAGCTTGCGAGCACTACAAACCACTAGTCACTAAGATCATAAAAGCTGGCGTTCTCCACGCAACTCCTGTACGCAACTGACAAGAACCTGCGCATGGTTACTGCGCAGCTATCGTCCAAGCAAGTCTTTGTTTTTTGTTATTTTCAGTATCAAAACTTTCATTATTTAAATGTTTAATTCAAGTATGGTTTGAAAAAATTATGCTAATTGTTTGTTAGATTTTTAAAATATATTTTTTGCATATCGTTAGTACGGTTACAAAAACTCTAAAAATTAATATACGAAATTAGAATACAGTAAGAAAAAATTCTTGATGGAAGATAAATTTTGTTGGTTCAAGAAAATTTTCAGGATAAACCAAAATTTGTTTGGCCGAAGTGTCAAATTTTCTGAGATTTTTTATCTTGATCAAAGAAAAATTCTCTAAAGTACATTAAGAGAAAAAATTTCTTTAAAAAAAAAAAATAAGCCACGTTGTAATGAAAAAGTAATTTGTTGAAAATTTTAAACAATTTTATTTCTTAGCTGAAAAAATAAAAAATCTTCCCACTGTAACTTTCTTCTTGAAAAAAAGTTTTTTTGATTTGGAAAAAAATCTAAAGTACATTAAGAGAAAAAATTTCTTTAAAAAAAAAAAATAAGCCACGTTGTAATGAAAAAGTAATTTGTTGAAAATTTTAAACAATTTTATTTCTTAGCTGAAAAAATAAAAAATCTTCCCACTGTAACTTTCTTCTTGAAAAAAAGTTTTTTTGATTTGGGAAAAAAAAATTTTGGATGAAAATTCGCAAATTGGTTATGATTATTTTTTCCCAAATCAAAAAAACTTTTTTTCAAGAAGAAAGTTACTGTGAAAAAATTTTTGATTCTTGAAACGATAAAAATTTTTTTTCTTGAAAAAAAAATTAGAAAGAAAAATTTCTACTTAGCTCAAGTTAATCTTTTTTGCTATACTTATGATTTCATATCAATATGTTGTATAATCATTTAGTACAATTATAAAAGACGTTCTCGAGTTATGAGATAAATGTTTCATACTAAATAAGTTTTGAACGAAAAATTTGAAAAACTAACATCAAAAATTTTTTGGTCAAATTTCCTGATAAAATTTATATAATATTATTGAAATAAACGAGTACAATAGTGATAACGTTTAATAAAGGGATTGTTTTTTTCATTTTTAACATAAGTTACATCTTAAAATGGAAATTTTAAATGAGAGCAAAAAATGTTCATCTTATGTACTAAAAATAATCAAATATCTCAGTTGAACCATTTCGTTTTTTATGATTGACATAAAAAGCTTTAAAACAAATAATCAAGTGTTATTTCAGTAACTCTCTACTTAGTTTTGACTTTTTCACAGAGTTACAAGTAGATAGCAAGAACTGTGTTAGTTTTATAAAAATAAAAAAATTTTTATTAAACATGCAGTTTAGTTACTAACTTGAATGGTATTAATAAACTTTTAATTGTAGTACTCAATCAAAATTATTTTAATATTTCAATATAAGACACAGTCATATTCGACGCTTAAAGTCATAAAACAATATACGGAAAGAAGTTTTCTTTAAAAATCACCGTTAAATTCACTGTAATCATGGGATCTAATGTGGCTCTTAATTTATTGTCATCTTTTGAATAAAAATTACTATAAAATTTATTTTTTTATGGTAGATTAGACAAAATTTACGGAAAACCTAATAAAATTGACGGTAAACTACGGTAAAATTTATATTTGTTAAAAAAAAATTAAAAATTATCTTCACTTACCGAAAAATAAGGCCGTGCCATCCGTTACACAATTGCCGTGAATTTAACCGTAATTTTTGAAGAAAATTCTTTCAGTAGTATATTAAGGATTTTAAAGAAGTAGTATGTAATGAATTTATATAAAATTGAATGTAATGAATTAATGATACTTGATAAAATATTTTAATTTCTAACTTTAATGAAAATAATTATTTTGATCAATCACATAAGTAAAATGATTTAAAATAAACTTAATTAATTGGAGCAATAATTATTTTTCTGATTTTTATTCTTCCTTTTAAAATAAAGCTAAAAGTAGCAAAATTTTTATATTATCTGATTTTTTAATTTTTCCAAAAAGTTATTAGAGAGCCAAAAGCGTCACAAAAAAAAATGTTGACTTTTAAGGAGATTTTATTTAACAAGAAGTCAGAAATTTATAATTGTAAACTTAAATTAAACAAAACATCACCAAAAAAATTTTTGTGCCGCTTGGGGAAATACAATTTATAAAATTATATTTATTTATTTATTTATTGCACAAGAACGCCGATCGGCAGTGTACATTAGTTTTAACAATCAATTATTTTAAGTGATATTTGAATATAAAATATAAATAATGAGAATGAGGCCAAAAATGAAAGTAAAAATAAAAATAAAAAACAAAGTAAGACAGAATGGAATATGTGATATTATGAATGTATTAGTTATTTAATATTGTTTTTTTTTTTTTTATCTTGGTTATGAAAGCAGACATTGAATCTTCAAAGAACTTGGTATCCTGGCAGTGTTCGTTGACTAGATTAGCTATATCCTGTTCCTTGGACCATAGTTTTTTGTTATCTTAATAGCGTCCAACAATCTATGGTGTCTTAAGCCTGGCCTTGGATGGATAATTTGAAATTGTTCACGTATCTCTGGTGATTCAATATGTCCATTGACGGATTTATAGAAAAATATTACGGCCTACCTTTAAGGAGGTCCTTTCGCCGCCAATGTAAAATAAAAAATATTAGATTAATAGGTTAAATTTCAAATTTTTTTCCTAATAAGTTTTTAAAGGTCCTTATTTTATAAGTAGCTGATGGTTTTAAATTA